CTATAAGTATAGCCCATAGTTATGAGGGTATAGGAAAAACTTTCTCATGGAACACATTGAGTGCCTTCCTCTAATCAAAAGGCCAAACTATGTTGAATATAGCTTGAAGAAATATTGCTGCAACTTTACTACCTAATAGCAAGATTGCTTACTCCATGTTCTCAATACCTGCTGAAGTTAATGAGGATTATACATGTAGTATTAGATATATTTTGCTATGCCATTACTTATCGTAAATCTCAACTAATAATATGGGATGAAGCACTCAAGATCAAGAAGCATTTTCTTGAAGCTATGATTGCAACCCTTAGAGATATATTGGTTTGTGATAATCTATAGTCATACTTATCCCTTTGGTGGTAATTGTATTGTTTTAGGTGGAGATTTCATAAAATCTTGCTTATTATTGCAAAAGGATCAAGGCTAGATATTATCCAACTTTCAATCAATAGATCCAATATTTGGTCTTATTGCAAAGTATTTACCTTAATAAAAAAGTTTGTGACTGGCATCATCTCTAGTTAACAATCAAACTAAGGTTGAAGCATTTGCTAAATGCATTCCAAATGTAGCTGGTGGTAAAATAGCACAACCTTATGATGGACATGCCAAAATTAAAATTCTAGCAAATCTATTGATCCTTCAGTTTGATGACCTATTACGGCTATTGTTTATGCAATCTACAAAGATTTGTTGTACAAGTACTTAAATCCTAGTTATTTTTACATCCTGTGCAATTCTAGCGGTGTCTAATGATGTGGTCAACAAATTAAATAACCACATATGCTCTATTTTTATAAGAGATTTTATTGATTATCTTAGTTTATACTCCATTACACCTCACTCATATCAAAAATGATTATTTTAATCATTTATATACTCTTGAGTTCCTTAACAGTTTGAACTGTTCATGTCTTCCACCTCATAGATTAACTCTAAAGGTTGGAATACTTGTTTGCTAATAATAAATATCGATCAATTAATAAAACTTTGTAATGAAACTCGATTGATAATTAAGGATCATGGTGAGCATATTATTGAAGCAAGAATCTTGAATGGATCAAATGTAAGGGATAAAGCCCTAATTCACAGGATGGACATGACTTTAGTAGAGTCAAAGTTGCCATTCAAATTAAAAAGAAGACAATTTCCTTTAGTTATTTCTTTTGCCGTGAGTATTAATGAAAGTCAAGGGCAATCATTAAACTATGTTTTTGTATATTTGTCTAATTTAGTTTTCACTCATGGGCAACTGTATGTTGTTGTGTTTAGAGTGAAAATGAAAGAAGGCTTGAAAATTTGATTGATAACTCTAACAGTTAAGCATTATCAACAACTCAAAACATTGTCTTGCAAGAGATCTTTGACAATTTGGTAGGTTTATCAAACTAAACTGATTGATTTTATTTTTAATAGAGTTGCCTTTTCACTTTATTGTTTTTACTAAAAATATGCTCATTTTCTAAAGTTCAGTTAATTTCCTTCCATTACTCTTATGTTGTATCCTAATTACATTAGTTATTGGTGTTTAAAGTCCAGATTATCACAATCCTATTGCATGACCAGAATACCAAGCATGGTATCTATCACATGGTCAAGTAGTATTCACTATCTATTAGGAATATTAGATAATTTGATGAACTCTGTTATTTCCTTTTCTTCCCTGGCGTGAATCATTCATTCAAATACACTTCATGCCAATAAAGTTATACTGATACAATCCTTGCCATTAAAGAACAATAATCAACATAATTTTCTTATAATATTTTAGTATGGTTTATATATGTTAAATGTTGAATTATGATATCAACATGCTTTTAGCTTCAATTCTTTTTTTATTTTTCCTTCTTTCATTGGCATATTTTTCTTAGGTTTCACTTACTCATCCACATGGTTTTGATATTTGCAGGCACCACAACTCCGTTCATCTTACTGTAATGGGAGATATTGCCCTCAAATCACCAAGTCAATTTTTTTTAATCTTTATATACCTTTTGGCTGTGTGTGCGTGTATATATACAAGTATATTAAGGGTTGTTCATGTCAACAATGAAGTTACATATTAATTTGTAAAAGAGCATGGAGCATATATGCCCAATGCACTCAAATTTGTAGGCCTTCTCCAGTTAAGACCCACCCTGGCAATCACACAAATTAATTGGTGATATATTTTTTTAATCTTTTATGATTTGCTAGAGAAAATCATTTGTTAAAGAAGAATCATGAGAAGTTTTATTTTGACTAAATAATCTAAACTTTCTCAACAAAGAATATTTTTATGATTAAACAATAACTATTTATATTTTTCTATAATTAAATCCTCCATAATGTTACCTTTCACTTTTGTACCCACTTGGTATAATTTCATCAAACCTCATTCCTCCATCTTCCTTTAAATTATTCTAAATGTCGGCTAAAACTTGTTTCTTGGTGTATGGGAAAAGTAAACAAAAGAATGTGCACTCAAGAAGAAAAATGCTATACCAAATCAGGCATCTAGCAAGAAAGCAACAATATTATGTTGTCCTCGAGGGAGATGACACATCCAAATAACAGTATATTAGATTTCAAATTTCACACCAGGAAAGGAAAGCCTCATTTGAAACCAATTATTTAGGAAAAGTATAAATAAATTCTTGTAAAAATTAGTAATAACCATTAAGGTTCATAAAATCTGGTAATTGAATTTAAGTATCAGGATCCCTTTTTTTGGAATTTTTCACAAATTATTGTTATGACTAAAATATTCCTTAAAGTAAGTGACCAGACATGCATTCAAATGTAGGTGTTTTACTCAAAACATTAATTTCTAAATTGCAAAATAACAACTATGATCCTAGAATTCAATTTTTTTTTAACATTATGTTATCCTGAATGATTATTACTGATTTTTACATTGGAGGAATTTAATAAAAATAAAAATAAATATGGATAAATGTGTATTATTTTTTGCCTTTAAAGTATTTTCCAAGGAATACCCAACATTCCAAATTATTAGTTGAAACAATTTTGTCCTTAAAGTAATTAAATGAAACATTTTTGCCTTTTCTATCAAATTTCCTAATAGTTAACGTTAGAATCTCAATAATATTTTTTTAACGGTCAATGTTGAGAATTTAATGACAAGGAAAAAATATTTTATTTTAATTATTTTAAGGATAAAATTATTTGACCAATAGTTTAGAGTACTGGGTGCTCATTGAAGAATATTTCAGGAAAAAAATTGCACATTTACCCAATAAACAAATTTATATAATATTTTAAAAGAAAAAGGATATATTGTTTGATTATTGGAAAAATTACTCTTAGGACCACTCTCATGCATCTACTTTTTATTTTTATTTATTTTTTATTTATTTTTCACATATATCATTTTATTAGAAGTAATATATCCGAGGCATTCTCCATCACAAAATACATGAGCACCTCTCCTAAATGAATTCAAACATTAATTCATCATATCATAAAGAATTAATCCCTTCTGTTGTGTACTTAATCCCTGTTGGTCATACATATACTTTTTTATATTTTATATTTTGTATTTTTTTGTATTATTCATTGATTGATTGATAATCAAACTATCTTGAGGTCATTTCTTTAACCAACGATTTCTCCAAATTCTGAACAAAATGTTGAGAATAAAAGACAATTATGAAATGATAAATAATTCACATTCTTATCACTACAACCAAGGGCTGAAATTATTTAAATTTAACGTAGATAATGACCAAATAACCTGAATATTTTTTGATATAAATCGACCCACAAATGATTTTTTTTTTGTTTGGTCAATTACACTACAATGACCATATAATTATTTGGTGACAAGCATGCAATTATAGGATTTCAATTAAATATCTTATCCAAATATTTAAATAAAAATCGAACCAATTTCAGTTCAAGAATTAATAATCAAAATCATAATTAAACTATGATTAAATAAGTTATAAATAAAATATTTCAATGCAGAGTCAAAGTATTGGTCAACAATTTACTTATTTTAGTTAGGTTAACCTAATTTTTAATACTATGCAGATACTTGAATTCAAAATTATTATATTTAATAAGTTTAACTGAACTTTTTTAACACCAATCCATAAATAAATTTGCTAAAATAAAAGTGTAGAAAAATAGCTGTTTGTCATTAAAAAAGGAATACAATAGCTCAGCACTAACATTAGTAGGGGAGATGTATTGTATATCTTTTTGATCAAGTCTCCAGGTAGAAGCCTGCAACAATATTTAAAGAATTTTGATTCGACTCAATTTAAATTAATTTTTTTTGGCCTGACAATTTAAATTAGTTTGATTTTCATTACGTCCCCTCAGATATATGGGATGGCATGTCCACATTGTGTTTTATGAAAAAAAAAAATATATGAAACTTTAAATAACAAATGATTGAGTTAATGGAATTAAAATATACAAAATTGGTATTGGAAGAATAAAAAATACTACATCCATTTAAAAATATGAGATATTTTTTAAAAAGTTAAATATTTAAAAATGTAAAATATTTTTAGTATTTTGAAATATAATCATTATTTTTTTTCAAAAGTACTCTTATTGATAATAATTTTATATTTATTATAAAATTTTTAATTAAGGTAAATATGAAAAAATAAAATTAATTAAAAAGTAAATAATTATTTTATTAAAAATAAAATTTAATTAAAAATATTTTTATTTTCAAACGAGTGAAGTAAAATTGAAAAGCAGGCATCAGCTATCAGTGCTCTCTAAAATTCTGTTTCTATTTTATTTTGTCATAAAAAGTCCGGGTACTATTGTCTTTCCGTCGTTTTTCTTCTATTTTTTTTCCGACAATAATTTTTGGAGGGATGGGGACTTTTTGACTTCTGACTAACGCGCCCGGAAAAGCACGTGCAAGTATCTCCCACGCCGTTTCTTTTAGCCTTCATTGCGCCGATCCTCTAAGCCTCCACGGTCCATATATGTTACGCAATCTCATCTACCCAACCTGCGAGACCTTTCCCTTTGAATTCCATCAATAGACCCAACCAAGGCAATACTGAAAATCAGAGAGGAACCTCAACAAAACCCTCAGAGGTTCGATCCTCTCATAGTTCCCTGACCCTTGTTCCCTCTTTGGATAATTGGAACTTGGGGATCAGGGTCGGTGGAGGAACTGGAAGAGGAAAGGTAAGAACAATTTGGTATTGGAACGATGTCTGCTGCTGTGTGTGGAAGCAAGAGATCTTTCTTTGAAGATATTCCTCCGTCGCCTCCAGTATCTAAGAGGCTCCGTTGCTCATCTTCTCCCATTCGTTTCACCGCTCCGTGCCTCGTCGATCAGCTTCAGGCGGTGTTCCCTCAAATGGAAGTTCAGGTATATCTCTTGCCTTCTTCTCCGGTTGACTGTTTGGTTTAATTTCTTGTGATTTGTTTGTTTCTGGGGAAAATAACAGAAAACATAAGTAAGGCAGACAAATTAACTTTTCAATTTAAATCACCTAATTCTTCGATTTTGATAAACTGTCGAGTTTTCCTCTACTTTTTTGTCATCCTGGTAATGAAGCGTGGAACTTAGGCCGCCGCCGCGATAGTAATAACACCAACAGCGCTATACTATTTGGAACTTGTATATTCTTTGGTTTATGGTTTGATTGAGAGAGGGGTTCTTTCCCCCTAATTTTATTTATTTACATTTGATTAACTAGATGTTTGTATTGTTGCGTATCAGCAAATCTATTGAATATTGCATAGCCGTCATTATTTTCTGCATTTTCTTTACAAGTATTTCTGATCAGTTGGTATATAACCTTTCAGCTTCTGAGAGAGCTCTCCAAGAATGTGGAAATGATCTAGATGTTGCTGTCAAAAGCTTGCATGATCGTTGCCTGGGATCTGCTGATGAAAATTCTGGTGCTGCCGAACAATCCGATGCTAATGTGGTAGCAGGTGTTACCGTACCTGGAATAGACTTTTTGCGTTAGGATCTAGGGATCATCGTCCAGTCCAGAAATGAACCATGCTTGGTGACTTTAGTGAATTTGAATTGTTCTGGAAAATAATTCTTTTTCTTATACAGTTTTACCAGCAGGATAGGGCCTTTTATCTCTTAGGCATCTTTTGATATATCATGCTACACATTTCTAATGGCTTGGCTTGGACTAAAGACTAGTTAATGGAGTTGAACGAGTTATCTATAGTTTTGTTCTCTACTACAAATCTTTCAATTATTGAAGCAATTGAAAGCGGCCTGCATAAGGTGCATTTGGTATTTGCTTAGGTTGGATTTTCATTTCAAGAAGGGTGTCTTTTTTTTAGCATTTAAGCTTGCTGAATTTTCTCCTTCGACTGCATGAAACAAGAGTAGACAGTGTTCTATTACTCTGAACATTCTTTTTCTTAAGGCTTGCAAATTTTCTGGCCTCCACTGGTAGTATTTCGGGTGGTTGAATGTGTGGATGCATATCGGCATCTATACATGTAGCCATGATTTATCAGGGGTCATATATGTTTTTGCATAACATGAACTGGTGATGTTATTTGGCCCTTTTTTGGGAACACTATTTAATATTCTGAACCAATATGGAGAACTGTGCAGGTTACAACACTACACAATGAGTACCTGTTTATTTGTGTGCATTTGGAGCTTATAATAAATGAGAAGTTGAAGTCTTTCGAAAAATTTCCAGGTACTTTGAGAGATGATGGGCATGCTTCTGCTTCTGAGAGCCAATCAGCTTCAAACCTTTCTGCAGATGGAGCAGAATGGGTTGACTTGTTCGTGAGAGAAATGATGAGCGCTATTACTGTTGATGATGCTAGAATCCGTGCTTCTAGAATGTTGGAGGTTTTAGAGAGATCAATCAGTGGGCATGCAAGTGCTGAGGCAACACATGTTATTCAAAAGGTACATGTTTATGCTAGGATCAATTAACATGCCTGTATGGCTGATGGCTGTACATGCCATGAGATTGAGAGTTGGGTCTTGGCAAACAATTTAATTTAAAATAGCTTGTTGAGGTCATAACTGAAATTTTTTTTTCTGGCTACCTAAAGTCAAAACACATGCTGGTCTAGGGGGCGACATAATTGGACATGCTGTAGGCTGTAAGATTATTGAACTAAGCACTTGAACGATAATGGTTGTTGAAGGATTTGTTAATCTTGGGAAGAGCGTAGTGTTGCACTTATGCACGCATCTTTCATATTGACTTTCCATTAATGGCCTTGATTATATGCTACAGTATCAGGATTAAGCTGGTGGTCTCATTGCCTTTCTTTGCCCCTCCTTTTCTTAGCCTGTGGTTTCGTTGCCTGGTCCATAGTTTTAGTAATGTTCAGTGCTTGTATATACAGATATCTTCATGCAATGCTCTAGGATTAATTACCACCAAGGCCTGATTTGCTTTTGCTTTCCTTTTTTTCCTGATCAGGAGTAAGTATTATATGACAAATGCCCTTCTGTTTTCAGGAAAATATGATGTTGAAAGAGCAAATTGAAGGGCTGACTAGGGAGAATACTATTTTAAAAAGTGCTTTTAAAATCCAGCATGAACGTCAGATTGAGCATGAAAATAAGAGTCAAGAGTTGCAGCAGTTGAAGCAGTTGATGTCTCAATACCAGGAACAGTTGAGAACTCTTGAGGTCAGATGAGCTTTCTTTCTTTTTTAATTCTCCCAGTTGAAACTTGAAATAATTCTAAGATTTATTTAGTCTTCAATTCAAAACATGTTTAGAAATTTGACTATCATCTGCAATCATTATAAACTCTGATTTCCCATCAGGATGGAAGAGAAAGAAAGGACATGAGGTGAGCCAATAGATTATATGATGTTTAATGGAAAATTTGCAACCAATTTGTGAGCACAGTGTCGCCGGTATTCATATTTGGTAGCTGGAAATGTATCCAAGGGAAGTGGCTAGCTGTTTTGTGTCACTTCCATGTGGGATTTGACACTCTTCCATTGTTCACATAGCCGATTGAGATACACTGTTATCTCACACTAGCCATGTTTAGGATGACAAATGAAATTTATTTTTATTAAATAAATTATATTTTTGGTATCTGTAGTGCTTAAAGAAATAAGGTTGTCCTTGTTTTTGGGTGGCATGGCATGTTACGAGAAATCAATTGGCATATTTTTGGTGAAAATCAGTGATTGTTATACGGAAAAAAATTGCATTTCTTGTTTGCTGATGAATCTGGTGCCAATGATTTTGTTGACAGGTGAATAACTATGCTTTGGCAATGCATCTGAAGCAGGCTCAGCAGTGCAACTCCTTTCCCGGTCGTTTCCATCCTGATGTCTTCTAACCAAATCAATAAGCAGGACATCATGGTTGGGCTGCAAATTAGCTGCATAGTGTTAATTAACCTAATGTTCCCATAGTGTGGTCAAGGCATGGTTGCTGTAATGCTGTTCCTAGTTCAGGGTGGATTCTATCCTGTCATTCTGGATAGAAGCTGTCATTATAAGTAAGATTTGTCTATTAATTCAATTATGTCCAATGATTTCCGCTGTTTTTACTTACAATGCTTTCTTTATATGTATTGTATTCGACCACGCCAATGAGTAATATGTATTGGATTGAATTTCTAACATCTAGATATTTCTTGGTTGAAGCTTGCTCCTCTCTAAACTGCTTAGAAATTTCCATGTCTGGATCAGGACAGATCAAATTAATATAATTGGCCGTTTGAGTCTTGCTGCTTCCTGAATTAGTTGTCGCTGTGTTTTATCCCCCGTCTTGTCAATCTAATTTCATTAATATTGCTATTGGAGAAGTTTCAAGAGATGGCTCATTCTCAGAGCTTGTTTGGCTTGAAGGAGGGGGAGATTTTACCCTCCGAATGGAAGGAAGAAAATGAGAGAAAAAAAATGAAAAAGAAAATTAAAAAGAAAATATTATCACTCATTTTGACAGATGAAAGAAAATAAAAGTAAAAAAAATGAGCAATATTATAATAATTATAATATTCATATTTAGTATATATATGTTTTATGTAATTATTTTTGTAAAAATAAATGGAAAGAATAAATCATATTAAAATTAACATCTTTAAATTAATTTAAATCAAAGTAGTTTATAAAAAAATTGTAGAAAGTTGAACACGCAAATTTGTTTCTATTTTTTAAAAGCAAATTATATTATATTAAAATCACATTATCAAATTAATTTAAAATTAATCAAATTATATTAAAATTAGTTGTTAAAATTAAATTAGTTTCTAGAAAGCTAAAGATGCAATTTTTTTTAATTTCTTACATTTTGGGTGTTTTATTCTTATTGCTTGAGAGAAATATAGCAATTTGATTTCCAAATAAGGAGCACTTTGTGATTTTAAAGTTTTGAATTTTGAAAATTTGATTTTGTTTTGAGGATAAGCAATTTTTGTCCACATCAAATTTTGATTTGTTTGTGAAGAATTAATGTTACTAAAGTGATCAGAGATAGAAAAGCGTACAAAGCAAAAATAAAACTTTACTTTCAAAATCTCTTCACTTTTAAAAAAATAATTGAAAAAAATGTGGTGGATA